GGAGAGAGAGAGAGCGACAGTTCGCGAGAGAGGCCGAGTGTGTCCTAGAGAGAGCGAGATGCGCGAGAGAGGCCGAGTGTGTCCGACTTAAACCGCATAAACACATTTCATTATACCAAATACACAACATAATGTTCTTTTTAGCAGCATCATATGACTCCTTTAATCGTCAACTTTTCACTGGTACTGTAATATCTCTTATTTGATTTCTGTAATTTTGGTCTGGTCCCCCAGATAAATATGTATCTGCTGTCCAGGATTCTCTTTGCTTTGTCTCGACTGGCCGTGGAAAAAGGCTTCATCCCGCAGCCCAAGAAAGACCCGTTCCCGCTGTTTGCTGCGCTGGTGTGGGGAATCGTGCTCTGGCTGTTTGAGTATCATCCTCACACGCTTCAGCCGTCCCTCCAGTCCTCCATGAACTACCTCTACCACGACAGCAACACATGGCATGACATTTCAGACTTTCTCATCTATAACAAACCAAAAACTAAATGAGATACCGACAAGTCTAAGCTCTTGCATTAAACCATAGAATCTAGGAAAATAAGAGACCACTTTAAAGTTTTTTTTGTTTTTTGTGTTGTATTGAAGGGTTTAATTACTTTACCTTTATTTATGACACTTAGAAATCGGAGCTATATAACCTTGACCGTTTTTAAAACTGTGCTGCCTTACATGTTACAGGTTGCACTGAATGACTTCTTTGCACATTGTCTAGATTGTTTGCTCCACTTTAAATGAGATTTACACTTCATGATAACTTTGTTAAACCATCATGTAAGAAAAGAAAGAAAACATGATTTTAAATCGCTCAACAACAATTTCAGGCCACATTTCACCCTAAAATAATGCGTTTTTTAAAAAACGCAGCATTAACACATGTTAGACTGCACCCCATAAACACAATCAAGCCTAGAAAAAACCCAGTGAACCACCCCTTTAACATTTTTAAAACATATGCTTTTTTGCATCATGCTAATGAGAATTGTAAATCATGAAACCTGCCAAAATGTAATTTTCTGTGTGCAATTTTTAATTCCCTGTTTTTTAGTTTTCTTTTGCTTTATTGGGGTGAAATATGACCTGGGCGTGTTTTGGTAAGATTCTGCAGTCAGTCGCTGGTGGTTTTGTCTGTACTGATGTCTGTACTGATGTCTGTACTGTATGTCTGTACTGTATGTCTGTACTGATGTCTGTACTGATGTCTGTACTGTATGTCTGTACTGATGTCTGTACTGATGTCTGTACTGTATGTAAATGGATGTAGATCTGGCAGATCTCACTACTGTTTTGTTAAACAGCACTTTTCGGTGTCATATTACATTATAAAGTAACCTAACATCACAATCTTAAAACAAAATGATTGTCATAATCCATTCTGTTGATTAATGTTGTATTACATTTAATTGTTGTCATGTGGGTCCATAGTTTATTCCGGATTCTCACCACAGCATTGCTAAATTGGACTTCAAATATTTTATAATTTTGCCGATTGCAAAAATTTTATTAATCAAAATGCACGGGCCAGTATGTTGAAATACAAAAATAATTGTGTGCCATTATATTCAATAGTAATTTTTTCATGTGTTGTGTTGGTGTGGATTTGATGTAAGAATGTATGTATTAATTGATTAAATAGAGAACCAGAATGTTTGGGTGAGTCGTTAATATTGTTTGAAATATTTTTATTATCCATAGATTCACATATTATCCTGCTTCACTGGATTGTGAAATTTAGTCATGACTCATGTCTATGTAAAAATGGTGTAAAAAGTACATAGAAAATATTGAAACTGGGGGAAAGTATTGAGTGAAAATTGTGTATCTTCCTGTTAAGTAACATTTAGTTGTTACCAGTTACATTGTGATCTAAAATGTATTTTAACTGCCTGTTTTAAATAAAAAAAAAGTCAAATAAACTGGCTTTTTAAGTCAATAAGACAGATAAAACTTAGATTGTTATGAAAGCAAATACTTCTCATAATGCTTATAATACGTAGGTAATATCTAGAAGCAATGTTCTGTTGATTAATTTATTGTTCCCTTATTTATTTCAAACCATAAGGCAGTAAAGACACCCTACATATTCCCAAAACCAGGCTTTTCAGTGAAGTATTTAAACCTGTTTTGGTAGAATTTTTTTTTTTTTTGACAGCCGTTCCGTTATTGATATTCACTTGATGTTAAGACTCGTTTGTTTCCTTTCTAAAGCATCACTTTCCTTTCTAAAGCGACTCTTTTGGTGTGATTTTAGTTTAGCAGCCTCATCCGTCAAGAATAAGAGTGCTTTTGTACACTATAGGACTGCAGATTTATTGTTTAACAAGGCCTTTATGATCCACTTCAGTTCTTGAAAGCGTCAATGGCTTTGTTTAAGGGCTTTGTGAAGAATGAGTCATTTCAGAAACCTGCACTGAAGGTGTGTTTTTATTGGGAAGGGCCTAACTAGTAAAGGTGCTTGCATTAATAACCTAGATTATTTCCTTGTACAGCCTATAAACTGGCTGAGCCTTACAAATTCTTGGAAATTCTTGGAAAGGCTATTCAACATCCAGAACAATTTGTTTTGTAAATAAGACTGAATCACTTAAATTATTGTGTGCGGGATGAATATTGGCAGTTGAAATCAAACCACACCTAATTTTTTTTTTTCATTACAGATATGGCCATGAAAAAAATTTGTGAAGTTTGCTTAATACAAACATCTTCAGACCACATTATAAGTATAAATACATGTTTATAATTTATTCATGCAGACATCTACTCTCAGTGTTGGGGAAAGTTACTTTTAAAAGTAATGCATTACTAAAATAAGTAACTAATAAAAAAGTAACTAATTACGTTACTTAGTTACTTTTTATGGAAAGTAATGCATTACGTTACTTTTGCATTACTTTTTAAATCTGGACAGGGCTTGCTTGTTTGTTTTTAAAATAAAAAAGTTCTATTTTTGGCAAATATAAAAGCCTTTTCACACCTAGAGTCATTTTTGCTTATTATTACGGTTGAACTGGATCATCGAAGGTCAGACGCAAAGAGGTTGGTTAATAGAATGGGATTAAATACATAAAGGATATTTGTGTTGTTTAATATTTAATTATTGCAGGTTTGCGTCATATTCTGAGTTGCATTATTTTTATTCATTTTGAGGAATACTGAATCTGTGTTTTTTTGTGTGTGAGTGAGATGAATTAATACATATTAATATTTATTTTGAACTACAGTAACATCTTCTGATTTCTCTCAACATGGAGACCGGAGCTGTCAATCAATAAAAAAATAAAATAAAAAGTAACTTGCGTTACTTATTTGAAAAAGTAACTCAGATATTCTCTTTTAAATTAAAAAGTAATGCGTTACTTTACTAGTTACTTGAAAAAAAGTAATCTGATTACGTAACTTGCGTTACTTGTAATATATTACCCCCAACACTGTCTACTCTACATACAACTTCAAAAAGTTTATGAACTTTTTCACAAGTTTTTCACAGGCAAGTCTCTGTTTCCTCATGACTTGTGAAATCTTCTCCACCTCTGATACTGTAAAAACCACTAATGTTTTTCCTAATGTTTCCTAACACATGCAGATGTTGTCATATATCAAATACAGTATTTTGTAATCCCACTGCTGAATGAGAGTGTCATAATTAAATCTCTTCAGAAAATAGAAAGAGTAAAGGAGTGACCTGAAACTGAGACCAGGCCTGACAGCACCGCACCTTCTGCACGCTGATCTCTTATATCTGTCATGATTTATCTAATATTCACTCTCACTGGTGTGAGTGAGGGTGTGTGATCTCAAGCCCTTTCCGTGACTGTGCATCATGATTTTGTGTTTCGTAAATCTAGATTATTCAGCCTTCATTAAATGCAGGTTAATTCTGCACTTAGACAACAAGGAAATTATCAGTTATATTATTAGTCATCTATGAGGGTGAATTGCACAAAACCTGTTAAGGGCATCTCGTATTTTACCCTGGAAAAGTGGGAAAGAAAGAAAGAAGATCTCAAGCCCTTTCCGTGACTGTGCATCATGATTTTGTGTTTCGTAAATCTAGATTATTCAGCCTTCATTAAATGCAGGTTAATTCTGCACTTAGACAACAAGGAAATTATCAGTTATATTATTAGTCATCTATGAGGGTGAATTGCACAAAACCTGTTAAGGGCATCTCGTATTTTACCCTGGAAAAGCGGGAAAGAAAGACTGCATTGCATTTGTCACATTACTTTTGCTCAAAGAAAATGATGCCTTTTCTTTTTTTTAGAACCATTAAGTAATTTTTCTTTCGAGACAATACCGCAATTGTCAAACTATAATGCAAAAACGAAACAAAAAATAAATTGTATGTGTATATATATATATATATATATATGTGTGTGTGTGTGTGTGTGTGTGTGTGTGTGTATACACTTTATATAGTATATAAATTGTAATAGAGCAGGAAATACATGTAATCTGGATTACGTAATGCAAAAATTAAATACTTGTAATTACATTATATTACATTTTTTAATTCTCATAATTAAATTACAGTAACTTTTTATGGACACACACACACACACACAAACTCTGCAGGACACCGGCCCTCCAGGACCGAGTTTGGACAGCCCTGCCTTAAACTAACAGTATTGGTGATTACCAAAACCAATCTTTATATTTATTTTATGAACATAAATAATTTTTTTATGTTCTGTCACAGTAGTGTTTCTAATGCTAAAATATAATTATTGTTTTTATACATGAATTTTCAAATGACTATTTTACAAGAAAGGCAGAATTAGTTTTAAAGCACTTTATTATAAATTTTTTATTCAGATGCCCAATTACAGACAATAAATACAGTACATTTGAATAGATAGATAGATGGATGGATGGATGGATGGATGGATAGATAGATAGATAGATAGACAGACACCTTTGCCCCATTAAACGTGGATGTCCGTTCTTGATATATATGTGTATTACTCATTCTGTATCCACCCGCTGAAACACACACAGCACTCATGTGTGATTTGAGGTGTTGGTTCAACTGATTGTAACATTTGACATGTTTTAACTTCATTTGAATGTGGTTTTGCAGCTTTAGTGGGAAGGGAGGGGCAGGTGGATGCTGTATAAAAGCACAATAAACGAAGAATCTGAATCAAACAGCAAACCACAACACAGCAGCATATCATGGACCGTAAGCTTCATGTTTTTATTATTATCATTTTTACTGGTTTACTAGCAAGGCATTTTGCTTAACCTTTTACAACAACAAAAAACATAGTATTTGAGTTATTTTGCTATTTAAAGAACTTATTGCATTAATCTTTTCTATTGCATGTAATCTTTTTAGATTTCAGATTATTTTACTGAGCTATTAAGAACATGATTTGTAATAGTTAATCATTAACTGCTATTTTAAACACTTAAATATTTCTAGTTGTACAATTAAGTTGTTTATTTGCTAACAAAACAGCTTTTCAGATCGTTTAGACAATGATTTATTCTAAATTATATTAAATTAATTGTACATTTATTAAAATAATTATAATAATAAAATAATTATATTTTATTTTAATACTATTTTTATACTTTTTTCTACTCTTTCTCTCTCTCTCTCTCTCTCTCTATCTATGCAAACATTTTTCTGAGAAATAATATCACATTTGCTCATTTTTACACAGAGTTCAGTGTTCGAACTATTGACCTGCAACAGGTGCAAAACCAGACCCGCCACAAGACCGACGGTCTGAGCTCCAGCACTGTGGTTCTGCGGAGAGGACAGGCCTTCACAGTGACAATCAACTATGATGGACGACCATTCGATCCACTGATGGAAAAACTGATCTTCCAAATTGTTCTAGGTGTGTTTGTGTGCATGCGTCTGTGTGTGTGTGAATTAAAAATGCAACCTCATCTCACATCACCCTCCCTCTATGATGATGAAATTCATCAGTAATCATTAGTTAGTCAGATCCAGAGTGACGTACTGCACAGTTTTGCTACAGGAGAATTAACGACTCATCCCATGCAGCATTGTAACAGATGCATTTATATGCAGTACTTTGGATAAAAATGATGATGGCTATGAAGAAGTCAAAGATAAAAACAATATATTTGAGGTTTATCCCAATATATGCAATTGTAAAAGTAGTTTGCATGTTATTTTAGTATCATTGATATACTGCTAAAATTGTTGTTAATATTTTTAATTTAAGTATTATATTTTCTGCTTTCACTTTAATTTTAGTTTTAGTGCAAGTAGTTTTATAATTTTTATTAGTATTTTTAAAATATGTCTGTATGTTATTTATTTATTAGTTTTTGTTTATTTAATACTTAAACTAAACGATTATTATAAATGTTGCCTTAGCAACTAGCTGAAATAAAACATGTTTACATTTTTTGTATTTTATTATAAGTTAACATTTATTTGATTTAAAATTGCGCGATTTTTTATGGTTAGTTCACTATAGCCCTGGTATAAACTAAATACATTAAAAGTGAACTTACCTATAAAATCAATAGTATTTTACTTCCAGAACTCTATTTTTGTGCTCTATTCTGACACCCACTCGTCTCTGCTCTCTGCAGGTCCGGTGTCTGTGGAGGTCCCGGTCTCCAGGCTCGGACAGCCCTCTCTGACTCAATGGAGCGCTGTTCTGGAGAGGCGTTTACCGAACCCGACTGGGTTCGCTAAACGTGCGCTATCTGTATCACTGTCCAGCCCTGCGTCTGCTTCTATCGGCGTCTACACGCTCCAGCTGAGGGTCGAGACCCGTCTGAATGTGAAAACACACTCGCTCGGCCAGATCACGCTCCTCTGCAACCCCTGGTGCCAAAGTGAGTGCTGTCTGTGTGTCCATACACAACTGAATGCCTTGATAGCAGGCTGTTAGTTGGCTGTGACTTTTAGCATGCTAGTATGTGGTTGCTAGATACTTGCTAGTCCAAATCCCTCTACATAAAGTCTGATCGATCTGAAAAGTAAATGAAGCACACACCTCTTCCCAACAAAAGACATGTTTCATGTTTGTATAGGACTCAAATAAGCAAAATGCGAAATCTTATGTTTAGGTTTACAATGGAACACTTACATTTGAATATACAATTAATTGTTTCTGATTTAAAAGCCTCATTTCAAGTTAAAACATATACATGGGCAAGTACGTGAATATATTACATGGAGCAAATTTTTTTGTTGTTGAGAATAATACCTAATGTACACTACCTCTTAAAAGTTTCAGCATCATTCCTCCAGTCTTCAGTGTCACACGATCCTTCAGAAATCATTCTAATATGCTGATTTGCTGCTCAATTATTATCAATTATAATTGGTACTTAATTGTTAATAATGATTCTCATTATTCTCAATGTTTAAAACAGTTGTGCTGCTTCATATAGTTGTGGAAATCGAGATACATTTTTCTTTTTAGGATTCTCTGATGAATAAAATTTGAAACAGAAATCTTTTGTGACATTATAAATGTCTTTACTTTAACTTTTGATTAGTTTAATGCATCCTTGCTGAAAAAAAGTATATTTTTTTCAAAAACAAACAATCTTTTAAAAAGTAGTCAGTGTCTTTAATTGCATTGCCATTTTATACACTTCTAAAATTACAGTAATGCACAGCCTCTTATCGCTTACTGCTTTCATTTAATGTAATTACACACGGATCACCTATAAAACAAATTGTTGTGTTTTTCTGCAGCTGATTCGGTGTTCCTGCAGTCGGAGGATCTGAGGACTGAATATGTCAGGAGTGATATTGGCCTGCTGTTTAAAGGCAGCCCCGGTAACATGGTCTCCAGACCCTGGTCGTTCGATCAGGTGAGATGTTTGATCATTGACTGACAGCACAGCACTGAACATGACTTCACATTAACTCCTGTGATGCATCAATGTGTGTTCAGTTTGAAAAGGGGATACTGGACATCTGTATGAAATTGCTGCAGTTGAGTCCTCAACATCAAGCGGACATGAGAACAGATCTGCAGAACCGCAGCAATCCGGTGTACATCGGCCGCGTGATCTCAGCGATGGTGAGGATCTGCTCTCATCCATCCTCTGTGCTCCTTCTCCCTCTCTCTATGTATTAATATAGTCTCTCTGTCTTTCTAAACAGGTGAACTCTAATGATGATAAAGGGGTTTTAATGGGAAACTGGTCAGGTGACTACAGCGGTGGCATCAACCCTTCACAGTGGTCCGGCAGCGCAGATATTCTCAAGAAGTGGGCAGAAGCACAATTCAGGCCTGTGAAATACGGACAGTGCTGGGTGTTTGCTGCTGTCATGTGTACAGGTGGGACACATATAAATGATTACATTCAAAAGTTTGGGGTCAGTGCGATTCTTGTTTTTTAATTTTTTTGAAAGAATGCATTCAATTGATCAAAAGTTGAAGTAAAGACATTTATAATATTACAAAAGATTTCTATTTCAAACAAATGCTGTTCTTTTGAACTTTCTATTCATCAAAGAATCCTGAAAAATTAAATATATCACGGTTTCCAAAACAATATGAAGCAGCACAACTGTTTTCAACATTGATAATAATCAGCAATGTTTCTTGAGCAGCAAATCAGCATATCAGAATGATTTCTGAAGATCATGTGACACTGAAGACTGCAGTAATGATGCTGAAAATTCAGCTGCGCATCACAGAAATAAATTACAGTTTAACAGATATTCACATATAAAGCAGCTATTTTAAATTCTAATGATATTTCACAATATTACTGATTTGACTGTATTTTTAGATTAATTGAATGCAGCCTTAGTGAGCAGAAGAGACTTACTGACCCCACATTTTTGAATGATAGCGTATGTGCTTTAAAGTGTTACATTTACTCAAAAATCTTTGAGAGCAGATTATTTTATTTTTGTGTGAAGTACTCCTTTAATGAGTTGTTGGTCATTTAATTAGTGCTGTTGATGATCAATATCAAATGTGTTTGTTTGTGTGATAGTAATGAGAGCCCTTGGCATTCCGACTCGAGTCATCACCAACTTCAACTCCGCTCATGACACAGACGGAAATATGGTGATTGAGGAATATTACAATGAGATGGGGAAAAAGCTGTCTATGAGCAAAGATAGCATCTGGTGAGTTATGCTAAAAAGCTAAAAAAGTCTCTGTAGTTATAGTGCTAAGACATGCATTACTGTTCAAAAGTTTGGCGTTGGTAAGATTGTTCATGTTTTTGAAAGAAGACTCTTATGCTCACCAAGGCTGCATTTATTTGATCAAAACTACAGTAAAAACAGTGAAATATTATTACAATTTGAAAGAACTGTTTTCTTTGTGAATGTATTGTAAAATGTAATTTAGTCCTGTAGTCTATAGTCCTTAAATGTCTATAGTTATACTTCAGTAAAAGCATCTTCACCGTCTTTAGTATACAAATAAACCTGAATGATTGCGGTGGAAAGGAATAATTCATCGTTTCAGCATTTTTAATCTGTCAGAACGTAAGTTAAAAGTGTTTGGCCTTTTTCAGGAACTTCCACGTGTGGGTGGAGAGTTGGATGAAGAGGCCTGATCTGGGTCAAGGCTATGACGGATGGCAGGTTCTCGACGCCACGCCACAAGAGAAGAGCGCAGGTCTGTCATTACAGTGATTTTTACCAGGCTAACGCATGTAGAAAACATGCTGAAAAGACCAGTTTCCTATAGGCTGGTTTATGCTGGTTAGTACTGGTCCAGTTTAGTTAGGCTTTGTTCTAAAACCTAGTGAGCTGCCTAAATAGCATGCCATCCAATTGCTCTAAATCATGCTATTTTTTTATTTTTTTGAGTGCTGGGATTTGCTGAGAATAATGCTTAAACATCAATATTCTGTCACAGGAATGTTCCGCTGTGGCCCTGCTGCTGTTAAAGCCATCTATCAGAAGAAGGTGGAGGCGCAATACGATGTGCCGTTCGTTTATGCAGAAGTGAACGCAGATGTGCGTACAATAATCATCAAAGATAAGAAGGTATTATCAACCAGCATTGATAAAAAAAGAGTTGGAGCCCTGATCTCCACCAAACGTCCAGGATCCATGCTAATGCAGGACGTCACGTCTGAATACAAAACTGAGAAGGGTAAGAGAAAGAGTGATAAAGAAAGAGAAAAGCATACTGTTAAAATACTGTTAGTTTCATTCAAAAATCTCATTCTTTCACATAAACTCCCATCTCGTGCACCAGGCGCTGGTGCACCAGGCGTTGGTAAGTCATTCTAACTTTCTAATGTTTAAAGCTGAATTGTGTAATTCAGTAGACTAGTATCAGCGAAAAAAAAAAATGAATGGTTGTTGTTAAAGACAATGCATTTTTTCTTGACACAATTTTCCTTCAGAAATCACTAGTAAATTTCACAAACAATTACAAGGAAATTGCAATTGACACATTGAGTTAAAGATGAAATGTACAGATAGTAATACTGAAAAAGTATTTTCTTGTAAAACACTCCAATCTTTTATTTTACTTAAAACTTAAAAAAACATTTTTTTTTTTTTTATGCAGTGCAGGTTTCTTGAGCACTTTGAGGAAACATTTTATCATAAAACCGACACACATCACAAACTGTTAAATGCCAACTAAATTGATTTTGAGAATATTTCTATGTAAATATATTTTTATGATTTTCTTTTAAATATTTTTTTTATTCATCTAAGTTGCTATCTCAAGACCCCATATTCGAGAGGATGACAGCGCAGGTGAAAGGGAAGGTGAGTTCTAGCATTTGGTTTTCCTTTCCTCATAAACACTGCTCCTTGTTTGAGTAATATGACTGAATGCAGTGATCTAACATATCTTTTCATGCAGCTTCTAAGGGCATTGAAGTTTCTCTCCAGCTTCTGAAAGCCCCTGTAGTCGGAGAAAACATTTCTTTCAATGTCATAATCACTAACAATGTGTCGAGAGGATGACAGCGCAGGTGAAAGGGAAGGTGAGTTCTAGCATTTGGTTTTCCTTTCCTCATAAACACTGCTCCTTGTTTGAGTAATATGACTGAATGCAGTGATCTAACATATCTTTTCATGCAGCTTCTAAGGGCATTGAAGTTTCTCTCCAGCTTCTGAAAGCCCCTGTAGTCGGAGAAAACATTTCTTTCAATGTCATAATCACTAACAATGTGGCTGCTCCGAAACTGCTGAAAAAACACGTGAACGCTCAGAACAAGGAGTACAACCGCAATCCCACTGGAACCTTCTGGGAGGCTCACGACGATGTGAAGATCGCCCCGAATGAAAGTAAGAGTCCTGCAACCTGCAAAATTAGTTTAAAATGTACTTAGAACCAAAAAAAAACCCAAATAAAATAAATCACAACCTGCAAGTGTTTTACACAGTTATTCTGCTGCAAGGGTGGACGATATGGCAGAAATATTACGATTTGTTCCACAATCTTATCACAATTATTTTTAATGTTGGGTTTTAAGAAACAAATTTTTCTGTTTAAAAAAAATAAAGCCGTGTAAGGTAACAAAACATAATAGAAAATGACAGACTACTGATTTGGGTTCAAATGAATGGATTTAATTCCATTAAATCAAAATTTATGCTAATATCTATAATCTAGTGTACACTAAAAAAATGTTGCTGTCAGCAGATATACATTATTAAAATGCAGTCTTTATCCTCTGATAAAAAAAAAACATATATATATGTATATATATATATATTGTTTTTATATATATCTTTATATATATATATATATATATATATATATATATATGTGATTTATATCCT